GACTACCATTTGCTATAAATATCTTTACATTTAGAAATTTTATTAATTATTATAATTGTAATAGTTTGTATCTAAAAAATCAATTTCTTTAACCTACTGTTAAAAATAAAAGCGAAACGAATAGATATAAGAATAATCCTATCACGTACTTCACAAGATTACTCAATTCGATAATATAACAATTAATAACGATTAATATAATTATAACAATAACAATAATAATTAACTTGATGTCGAGAAAAGATTTAATTTGAAACGAAGCAACAATATCATGATTCCTAAAAGCAAAACAAATTTGTTATTTGTTTTGTCCTACTCATCCTGATCACTCAATTTTATGGTCCTTTTTATTTATAATTATTGCAATATTTATTTAATCGATTTTTACACGAGTTTGTAAATTTGTATTTTTATCCTGTTGTCTTTATTGTTATCCCTTTTTTTTTTCTCAATATATGCTATATTTTTATATTCTCTTTAAAATTTTTTAATGTTTGTGAATTTTTAATGCCTTTTTCTTAATTTTTGATTGATTGTAAATTGTGAGCAATTTAGCCTTGGCTACAATTCACTTTTTGTCAATTGCTTTCTCCTTTTTGTATCGTTTTGAATAAAATATACCATGAATAATAAAAAAAAAAAACATGTTGCACAGACTTCCCACAATTTTATAAACTAAGCTAGTCTAGATAGGCTAATAGTATACTAGTTATGGCTAAAGATTTTCAATCAGTCTGTTTCTGTGCTAATTAAACTTCAATTTCGCTATATGGTATTACAAAAGTCTTGTAAACACCAGTACATTTTACATAAACCACGCCAAATTATTATCGGCGGTAAACGTAACTTTATAATCGACATGCGCAGTAGCATTTTCAGTCGCTTGCCAGTTGCTTTGAATCGCTACAATACAGAACATGGGCAACTGAAAGCAACTGAGCCTGGCAAATGGCAATTTCCAGTTGCTTTTCAAATACGGGATGGAATGATGATTTGTAGACTTCATGAGAAAACCCTGTGATTGAACCCAGGACCTTTGGGATTGGAAGGTATGAATCTTAACCACCAAACAATTCAGAGGCAAATTAGTTGCACTATGTGGGTTTAGTACTAAAATGACCATTAGAAGTTCTATTGTAATTTTCATATTCTCAATTTTCGCAGTGTATGAATCATTTTTTAACATGGATAGTGGCACACGTTAAAAGCTTATGAAAATATAACTGTAGTTATTCCTGCTGTCACTCCATGGCTTGAAAATTAAAAGTAGCCAGCAAAAAACTAGAAATAAACTCCAAGCTTATGAATAAATATTGTGGTTGATTTGTATATGACAGCTTACCCTGCAATTCTTGTGGGATAATCTGACTCATAAGATGTTTGACGCTCCAACAGAAAATCAAT